TCATTAACACCGTGAAAAGCATTCTTGTTCAAAAGACTTAGGGCAGAGTGAGATCACACCCAATGTTTGTTGACTCACACACTGATCAGAACAAAGTAAGTCCTGCTGGTTATTTTCAGGTCTATGAGGATTACATACCGCCCCATACCCGGAGGTCTCAGGGCGGTTCACAGAAAAGATCACAACATATATAATCAGAAAAACAACAACCCAATAACACCCACACACACCCACACACACACACACCAGAAAAGAGCCACATTTTAAAAGGGCATAGGTTGTCAACAGAGCAACCAAAGGCCTGGTTAAAAAGGAACATTTTTGCCTGGCGCCTAAAAGTGTGTAAGGAAGGCACCAGGCGAACTTCCCTGGGGAGAGCATTCCACAGACGGGCAGCCACTGCAGAGAAGGCACCCTCCGGACCTCTTGAGGAGGAGACACAAGAAGGAGGGCCTCAGAAGATGTAGGTTCATATGGGATGAGGCGGTCCTTGAGGTATTGTGGTCCTGAGCCACCGAAGGCTTTATAGGATTAAGTGGATTAAGTGGTAATGATCAACTTGCTTCAGTTTTGAGTTTTGGGGCTGTATTTAATAAATTTGTACACCACCCCTCAGGTAGATCTCAGAGTGATTCACAAAATAAACTGTAGAGCTATGACTTTCTCATGAGGCTTGCTGGGGTTTTTGAAACATTATTCATCCAATTATTCATCTAGTTTGGTGTAGGAGTGCAAATATCCAGAGTGTGGGGTCAGGTGGGATTACTATGAGGAATTATAAAATATGCATCAAGCCATTGTGTCCACGATGAATGCATTGTGTTGACTGGGTTTAATTCATTGACAATAATTTCTGATCAAATCCCACAACCCTGTGCATCTCTGGCCATTTTCTCTCCTGCCCATTTCTCTTTCTTGACAAGTCACGTATGCAGCCCAGTTGCTTGCCAGGAAGGCATCCTGGGCCATAAAGAGAGTGGGCAAGTTTCTTTGATGTAGCTTTTCTGATATGTTAATCTTAGGATGTTAATCTTAGGGCCAGGAAGGACTTCCGGGTTGGCGCCATTGCCGAATGGCGGATTCCCTCCGAGCTCCGGAGGGAATCTGCTCAGTAGGGATCGGGTTCTACCGCGCCGGCGACGCGGGGACCCTTAAAAACCATGGGCGCAGATGCCCGTGGACTTGGTGACTCGGCGGGCACCGTTAGCGCCCTTCCCGACCCGTGAAGGAGCCTTTTTAAAGGCTACGGAACGGGGGACGGGGAGCGGTGCGGTGCTGAGAGTCCTCTGCTTCCCCTGCTGAGCGAAGCCGCATGCCATTCGGTGGAGAGCGCTGACTTCTTCTTCTGAACATTTGGATTAAAACAACAACCCGTGAGTAATACGGAAATTGGACTTAAAAGGGAAATTCTTCGCCTTTTTTCTTTTTTGAAATTCGGCACGAGCGGGGGAGGTGCAAAGAGGAAGTCCGTCTCCCCCCATTGTAGACAATTTAAAGCAAGGATTTAACAATTAAGGTCGAAAAAAGAGCCTTCTCTTCATTGAGAAAAAGTTATAAATTCCACGAGTTTAAATTACAAGTAATTGTGCTGGAGGATAAGAGTGGACTGAGATTAAAGTGCAACCCCCCCTCGGAACCGGGAGTAAACCGCGAGAGAGCCTGGGGAAGAGAGATCGAGATTTTGACAGCTGTCAAAGTAGCTGTCAAAGTGAAGTATAAAAAAGAGAACTTTGTTCTGGTGACTTTGCTGGCTAGATTCGTTACAATTTGGACATAATGTATTGAAAACAAGGAATAACAAGTTAATTTGACTTTTGGCTTGGATTTGGAAGGAAACTAAGTAACTATAACCCCTCTAGAGGGGGTTTTGGGACATTACAAGTATGGCTGCAAGTGGAAAAATACTGATGGAGTTGAACAGGACTTTTTATCTCCTGGGAGAACTGTATGACCAGAGTACTGTTTTGTCTACAGAAGTAGCTAAACTGAAGGAAACAATAGAGGCATCTATTGAAAATGGAAGGGCCTTGACGCAAGTTTTGGTTCCTGAACAAATAGCTTCTGTAGCGAAGTGGGAAGGGAATGAAGGAGGAGTTTCAGCATCGCAGAAGACTAAGGAAGGCCAAGGGTCTGCCAGGAAGGACACAAAGGAAAACAGGAATTGGATTATGGAAATGTGGTGTGAACTGGACATTGAAAATTGGAGAGACCTCCTGATGGAGGGACTAGAAGATCTATGGAGTACAAACCTGAGCAAGATGGAAGTGGGACTATTTGGGACATTCAGGCTCAAAAGGATTAAGAAACAAGATTGGAGTTCTATTTTTAACTATAGAGGCCTGGATGCAAGAAAAATGGACATTTTTGGGACAGAACTTCTACGAGATCTGGTGCCTGACATAAAAGACTATCAAAAAAACCGGCAAAGAGGAGCAGAGAGAGATTTAAGAGCCTCGGACGTGATCGCCAGGCTGACACTAGATAGACTGATGGATTTTGGGGATTGAAACCGGGAAAGAGGGGAGAGAGAATGGGAATCCAAAGGGTGTACAATTATATTTTGAATTTTTCTTTCTTTCATATGTTGTTTTGAAGTGAATATAAAAAAGGGGAAATTCGTGGAGGGGAACAGGGGTCGATCTTAGAAAAAAGAGGTTTATGTTTAAAGACGGTGGATTATGAAAGAGGGTATGTAAAATGAGCTAAATTGAATAATGGGTCAAATATGATAAGGTCAAAAATGTGGGATAGGAACTTGTTGAATTAAATAAATAGAAATGGAATACAAGAAGGGGAGGGGTGGGGAAGTCCGGGAAAGATGTTATTGAAATTAAGGCTTGAAATGTAAATGTTTTCTATTTTTCTTTTTTACTGTTTTTCTTTTTTTGGACTTTTTTCTTTTATTGTTGGAAAATTTAATAAATATGATTTAAAAAAAAATAATAATCTTAGGGCCAGGAAACAGATCTCACCTGAAGGTGATAATGATCACTGTCTTCCTGGCCATCCTCCTTATCATGTATATTGCTTGTTTATCACCTCCGGGGTTGCCAAATGCACTCCTTTGTAGTTCTGTTTTGTTTACCCCAGAAATATGCGTGCTTAATTAGTTTTGGTATTTTAACTTTGTCCCCACGTGGGGTTTGTTGAAATGCTCAGAAGAAATCTGATTGGTTCTTACGAACTCTCTGTAAAAGTTCTTTTGTGAATAAAATGACCTGGGCCGAGGGGTGGAGAGACAAGCAGAGAGTATTATATTCACCCTTCCCAGAGTCTTGCTGGTTCAAGCCTCTGTGTGTAGTCTTATTAATCAGAGTTCAATCCTTCCTTTGCTTCAGGAACCCCTCAATTTGGGGCTTAAGCCGGAGACTTCCAGTCCAGATTGGGTGAAGATCATGTGGGATGGTGATACTCTTTCCCCCCAAAATCTTTCTGAAACCTGGTGCCTTTCCTAAATTTTGAACTTCAGCCTCAAACATTGCAGTCCAAAACACCTGAAGAGCAACAAGTTGGAAAAAGCTGGCTTGGAGTGCAGTTGTAATATAAAACAAGGCTGAAATAACAAGCAGGAAGAGTAAGAACAGTCTCTAGAGGGCACCAAAGACCAAGCTGTATCAGAGAGAAGACTCAAGTCCTGTTCAGAATTGGGCAGGGCAGGGGGGCCTCCAATCACACAGCCTCCGGCTAGCCTTCCTGACCCTTACTACACCTGATATCCAGGGGTGGTATTCAACTACGTTTTATACAGAGTAGACCCACTGAAATTAATAGATGTAACTTACATCATGTTCATCTGCTTTGAGTAAAACTTAATGGAATAGCACCCCATGTGCTGGATGGCATATAAGCATAGTCGACTCTCAACGTAATAGCCAAAACCACATACAGTGGTACCTCGGGTTAAGTACTTAATTCGTTCCGGAGGTCCGTTCTTAACCTGAAACTGTTCTTAACCTGAAGCACCACTTTAGCTAATGGGGCCTCCTGCTAATGCCGCGCTGCTGGAGCACGATTTCTGTTCTCATCCTGAAGCAAAGTTCTTAATCCGAGGTACTATTTCTGGGTTAGCAGAGTCTGTAACCTGAAGCATCTGTAACCCGAGGTACCACTGTACGATCAGAACAACCTTGTAAAAACTGTAAAAAGTGCAGCGCAGCACAGATCACACTCTCTCAAGACCGCTGTTGATTCTCTCTGCACCTCTGGATGCTCTCTCAGAGTGGGTGCAATGATGGGTGGGATTGCCAAAGGTTTCCCCCCACTCTCCCACCCCCTTTTAATTTTTTAAAAACTTTTTCAGCCAAGCACATAAATCTGCGACTGCACACGTTTAATGCACGTAAGTTGCGAGTTGACTGTACATACATACAACCATAGACTCCAAATGCACGAAGGCTCCAACAACACATTGACATCTATGCACAAAGGCTGCTTTGCACACATGCTGAATATGTGGATGTCACAGTTAAGGAACAACTATGATTCCCCGCATCAATGCACACACATAAACACAGCAAAAGCAGCTGCCAACAACTTCAGAGCTGCTCTCTCTCCTTGTCACTTTAAAGTGATACTGTGCTTTTTAAAAAATCCCAGAGAAAACATAAGAATATTTTATGTTTTTGCAGAGGGAGAAAACATTAGTTCTCGGAGTTTCTCTCTATGTTTGGGTTGTTCCCAAAGTTTGGGGAATTGGAAACAAATGTCAGTTTATCAGAATGAAAAAAATGAGGGGAAGTGCAGAGGAGACAAAGGAGAGAGAGATTTCATCAGTCCTCTGGGCATATCTACACTGAAGACATGTCCATTTTATAGCAATGTCACAGCTGCTCCCAGAGAATCATGGGAACGATATTTTGGTGAGAATACTGTCTCTGTTTGAGATCCCTAGCTTTTAGTTCCCAAAGTTTCCTAGAGAGGGAAAGTCTGTTAAATCATTTTAAGTCTGTGGTTTGGATGTGATTACTCTCAGCATTAAAGGAAATGAATGTAAAAGCTACCTGCTCCTTCCTTAGGATTTGCTAAAATTTCTCAGCAACTTTCTCCTCTTCTCAGTAGTAACCAACCAGTGATCTGGTCCTCATCTCTTTCTGCCCATTCAGAAAACTCTGGCAACTCTAGAAAGCAGAAGAAATTTGTCCAAATTTAATGATATTATATTATCAAAACCACAGTGACTCATGAAACAATACATACATGAGGGAAATAATAAGTTTAACTATTTACACATTTGCTATTTGGTTCTGTAACCTTAATTATATTTTAGTGTTATTTTTTGTTATTGTTGTTATTTATGTTTTCCCCTGCTGTTTAATGCATTTAATGTAATCCCCCCCTTTTCTCTTTTTTTCTGATTTACTTTAATTCTCTGTAATACTTTCAGCAAAATAGAAATAAATAAATAAAATTAGAAAGCAGAAGAAATGGCACTGTGGAATGGATATAGAAAGCAGATTGCAGTATACGGGAAACAGTGAAGGTGATCAGATCCAAAGGAGGACAGGGCTCCTTTCCCATTAACAGTTTGGGAGGAGCATACATACACTTTACTGGGGCTAAGGGGAGTGCAGGGACTGAGTCAAGGCTAGCTGTCCCATTACCACAAGGAAAACGTGAGGCTAAATTGTAAATTATGCTTAAGAATGTCCAAATTTATTAATCCTCTGTTTACCTTTGGTGTCCTAAACTTTTAAGATTTGCTGTACTCAATCTGCTGGAACAAAACAAGCAGTGCTATTTTTCTAGAAAAAGAGGTGCCGGAACTCACCACAAATGCCTCCCTCATTCTCTTAGAATAGCAATGGTGCCATTCTAAGTTCCAGTGAATCCCGGCTGGAAAAAAGCCCTGAGAACAAGTATTCCAACCAATGTGTTGTAGTCCCCACCTTTCTCCCTTCTCTAGAACAGCAAGCATAAGAACACACAAAAGGGAAACAGGATCTGGCTACATGTCCCAACACCAATCATCTTCTTCTTCTTCCCAACCTGTTGACTACGGCCTCTGGCAGCCATGCAACCCCAATCAGAGTGAAAGTTTACATGGGTTGCATACGGATGTGACACGCTACCTTTCACATAAATGTTGAACATGTGACCAGAAAACACAATACTGGCCACGACCCTGAACTGAGATGGGACAAAGCGGCTTGTCTGAACACATCTGGAGCAGCCAGCTCCCCAGATCTTCATTGTCCATTATACCTAAACAGTAAAGGTAAAGGGACCCCTGACCATTAGGTCCAGTCGTGGCCGACTCTGGGGTTGCGGCGCTCATCTCGCTTTACTGGCCAAGGGAGCCGGCGTACAGCTTCCGTGTCATGTGGCCAGCATGACTAAGCGGCTTCTGGCGAAGCAGAGTAGCGCACGGAAACACCGTTTACCTTCCCGCCGGAGCGGTACCTATTTATCTACTTGCACTTTGACGTGCTTTTGAACTGCTAGGTTGGCAGGAGCAGGGACTGATCAACGGGAGCTCACCCCATCACGGGGATTTGAACCGCCGACCTTCTGATCGGCAAGTCCTAGGCTCTGTGGTTTAACCCACAGCGCCACCCACGACCTTTAGCTGAATGTATAAATTACTTATTTTAGTCTTCCAGATTGCTATTTCTACACCTTATACTATTACTGTGCCTTCTCATTTCCTCAGGTTCTTCCCCCTTCTGTACATCAAGGGATGCTTTGGCCCTTTCCATGTAGAGGTGCCTGAGTGTCCTTACTGCTGTCTGTGCGCATTTACTCAGAGATGAGCACAGGAGCAGAGGAAGATGCCGTCTACCAAGTCAGATCACTGGGTCAGCTGGCTCACTATTGTCTACACTGGTTGGCTGGCAGAGCCTCTCCAGGATTTCAGACAGGCGTCTCCCCACAGCCCTAGCTAGAGATGCCAGGGATTGGGACCTTCTGCATGCAAAGCAGATGCTCCACTGCTGAGCTTTGGCCCTTCAAAGCTCTGCATTATGGTCTACAGATGTCAATTTTATTTTCTTGTTAATTATGCTGTTTTAAATGTGTATATTATATTTGACTTCCTTTAGCAATGTTTTCTTCTGAAATGTTTAAAGATAATTTTTGCTGTTGTATTAAATGCACATTCTGTAGCTGACCTGCTTTGTTTTGAAATCTTTAAGGCAATATTTTACTTCCCTGTTAATTAATGTTGCTTGGAAGGCATACTTAATATGTGACTTTCTCCAGTAATGTTTAATTTGGATTGTTTTTATTTTATGCGTATATCTGAAGCAGCATCTCCACCCCACCCCATTGTTCAGCCCCAACACTGAGGTCCAGCTCTGAAGACCTTCTGGCTGTTCCCTCATTGCAAGGAGTGAAATTATAGGTAACCTGGAAGAAATCCTTCTCAGTAGTCACACCCGCCCTGTGGAACGCCCTCCTGTCAGATGTCAAAGATAAGCAACTATATGACTTAGTAGACATCTGAAGGAAGCTTTTAATAACTGATGTCCCCTTTCCCCTCTGTTTTTTGCTGGAAGCGGTCCAGAGCGGCTGGGGTAACCTAGTCAGATGGGCAGGGTATAAGAAAAGAATTGTTGTGGTTAGGTGGTTTGTGTTGTAAACTGCTTTTTAAAAGATGTTTTTCTTAAAAACAAAGTGGTATAGAAATAATAATAATAATAATACCCTAGGCCTCACTCACCTGTTTCCAAGAGAACCAAGAAATACTATTTTTTTTTCATTTTTTACATGTGTGTCTTATCTTACTCTATGCACTTGTAATTTTGCACTTTTTATTGTTTAACAAAGAAACTATCATTTCCAAGAGAATCAGAGAGTGCTTGGGCAGCAAACTCTATGACCCTAGAGGAGGGCGTGTGCTTCAAAACCAGGGCTCAATTGGGCGTGCGTGCCTCGAACCCAGCAATCTGGCTGAAGTGTATTTAAAATGTCAAGGAAATAAACAACTATCTGACTTTTAGAAGACATCTGAAGTCAGTGCTTTTTAAAAATAAAACAAAATGTTTAGGGGTACTCTCATTCTGACTCAGGAAAATCACCATTTTATAGTTCATATGGGGGGGGGAATACAGTAAATGGACAAAAGAAGATTCACAAAATGTTTAGGGGTATGCGCCCCCCCCCCCCCAGAATAAAGGCACTGTCTGAAGGCAACCCTGTTTAGGGAAGTTTTTAATGTTTGATGTTTCATTGTCTTCTTAATATTCTGTTGGGAGCTGCCCAGAGTGGCTGGGGTATAAATACATTATTATTATTATTATTATTATTATTATTATTATTATTATTATTTATTGGGTTCAGGCATGACCCACCCCAGTAACCCTGGCCCTCTCCCTCCTTACCTGGCACCCTGAGCTCAGGGGTTCATAGGTTGCAGCGCCAGCCTTCCTGGTCCCCAAAAGCTGCTCTCAGCACACTGGGCCTTATTCAAGCCCAGGCCTCAGAACAGCTTAGCTTTGATTGGACAGCCCTGCCTAGATGGCAGCCTATGAGCTTGACCCGCTGAGGCAGGCCTGGCACTTTAGGACTTGTCGTCTGTGGCCCTTTTATGCTTGAGAACTACATGTCCCAGAGTTCCCTAATTCTACAAGCTTTATCTCTGAGCACAGTGCAGAAAGAGCTAGCAGCATGTGGGAGGTTGGCAGTGCCGGATTTATGTACAAGCTAAACAATCTATAGCTTAGGGCTCCACTCTTTTGCCCCTCCCCCAAATTACACTATTAATATACTGCAGTTCAACAATTACTTTGAGAAAATACATATTTTGTTATGTGCAAATGGCTTTAGATACCTATTAGTTCCATAAATTAGTGTATTTTTCGCTCCATAAGGCGCACCTGACCATAAGGCGCACCTAGTTTTTAGAGGGGGAATTCAAGGAAAAAATATTATTTAAAGGGAGCGCTGAGCAGAGCCTGTATGCACCCCAGGCTCTGCTCAGCGCTCCCTTTCATGAGCAGCGTGGAGTGTGTGTGTGGCTCTTGGGGGCTTTTCCCCGAGGAGGGAGAAGGGCAGCTCATCACTGACGGAATTCCCCCACCTTGTAGGAAAGCCAGCAGAAGCCGCACACCCTTTAAAGAGCGTGCGGCTTTTGTGCGGCCAGTCAGTCCCTTCTCCCTCCTGGGGAAAAGCCCGCAAGAGCCGCGCTGAGCTTGTGTGCGGCTCTTGGGGGCTTTTCCCGCCTGCCTCCCCCCTGCATTCGCTCCATAAGATGCACACACATTTCCCCTTACTTTTTAGGAGGGAAAAGGTGCGTCTTATGGAGCGAAAAATACGGTACCATATAGCATATATTCAACACAAAAACCAGTGACAATTTGTTGTTGACAAAGGGCAGCTGGACATATAAAGGGCCCCATTACCTGCAGTAGCTTAGGGCCTCATCAAACCTAAATCCAGCCCTGGAGGCTGGGCATGGGGGACTTAATTTTTGGCAAGGTTATTCAGTGAGGAGCCTTAAATATATGTTTTTCAGGTGTGATGAATTCAAATCTGTTGTGTGTGTTTTTATGATTTGGCAGCTCGAGATGTCTACGTTCGATGAAGAAGCACATTCAGTACTTTCAGGAAACCAAAGGGTTTTGAATTTTAGCTTCCGATAAGGTCTGGTCATGCTAAAGAAGAGGGAGAAGGAGAAGGAAGAGAAATAACATATAATCTAACTGCAAGTACTTGGCAATCCCTTTTTTAATTATTTCTATGTGCAATTTTGCACACGCTTTACTTACCAAGCAAAACTAAATTATACTCATTTAACCCAAATATCTCTTGATTCCCCAGGGCACGTTGCAACTTTTGAGCACCCCTAATTTTGGGGATTTGAAAGTTGGAAAATCCAGTACGCCCTAGTGTGGGAGTAGACGAGGGAGTAGAGGATAATGAGGGGCAATGAGTTCACTGGGGAAGTTGAGAGGCAATACTTCTGGTGGACGGTGAAGGCCTTGGAACATAGGGAGTGTATAGGGAAGTTTTTAATGTTTGATGTTTTACCGCGTTTGATGTTTTAATTTGTTGAAAGCAGCCCAGAGTGACTGGGGGCAACCCAGTCAGATGGGTGGCATATAAATAAGGAAGTATAATTATTATTATTATTAAAAAGGTGAATTGAGTGGAAAGCAGGAATGGGGGAAGCTTGTTTCCTCCAGGTGCTGTTGGAAGTTCAGCTGGGTACATGAAAACTACTTTATACAGTTAAGACGCTTGGGCCCATCTAGGCTCAGTCCTGTCTCCTATCTTCCAGCACATTGAAGACAAAAACTGGGACACCATCTTTCTCCCAAAAAAAACACCTTTTCTGAACACAGCACCAAAAAATATGTGTTTTGAGGTGCCGCGCGAGATCACAGCCCCCCAAAGGCACTTTTCCAGGGAGGAAATTGCGCAAGATCACACCCAAAATGGTTGCCTTCTTCTCGCAAGAAAAAAAACCAGGATGTCCCAGTTTTTCCAGGACACTTGTGGGACATGATGTCTAAACTGACTGGCAGTGGTTCTCCCCTCAGCACTCCCTGAACACGCTGGGTATTGAACCTTTTCTGCATCTAAAGCAGTGGTTCTGCGACTGATCTGCAACCCTTCCTAAAACGACTGACTGTTTTGTGGAGAAAGCGTTACAATACTAAAGTCTCAGAGCACAGGTTTTCAATTCAGGTCCCAACCTTTCTGATGGCTGAGCCAACCTGAGTCTGGTCAGTACATGGGTAGATGACTGCCTGGGACCCACATGTACACTGTCTCAGATTCCATGGAGGAAGAAAGGTTGGGTAGACAGCTTCTTCTGTGTTAGAGGAGCCAGAGGAGAAGCCTAGCTGTACCTTACAGCAAACGGGAGCTGCTAGCATCTCACGTTCCTCCTCAAAAGCATGAGGTGATGTTCAGCATTCTCCATGCTTTCTTTTATTCAGGTCTGAGACAGTTTTGTCCAGCTTTCTATAGATTTTATTTATTCAAACGTGTGTTAAAACAGAGCCACTGTGATCAAGAGATGCTACTATATGGACATAAGCACAACAAACCCAAACCAGCAGTTGCATTCGCCGCAAAATTGTGGAATTACCTTCAGTGCCAAAGAAATGCAACTAGACATAGAGTAAGACTAAAACAGATAAAACAGTGGTAAGTGAGATGTTCCTTCAGAGTAAACAGTTTGTGAATCAACTTCTCAGACAGCCCTTATGCTTTTTCCAGCCTAAACAAAGAAGGAAAACTAAACTAATGGGAATAAAAGGAGAACAGCTTGGCCGGAACATTTCCTGCATATCTTTGCAAATGTTAAGTTTATGCCATGGTTGCTCTGCCAAGTGAAGAGAGGCTTTCTTGGAGCAACTGCAAGGAGCTTTCTTTTGTGAATTGGTCTTTGTTGAGTGTCTGCAGCAATTGCCCTACTTGAAGAGGAATCTCAGGCAGCAACGGAAACTTAAAACCATTTGGCACCTTCTTTTGCCTCACTCTGCTTCCACTGGCAAAGGGGCAGTACAGGAGGAGACCTGTACTTGCTTCTTTCTCATTTTTATACCTTAAAGGCAAACAACATGATAGGTGGTTCCAAACATACCACTAATATAGCATATAAACATCAGTTAGACACGCCTGCCACATCTTTGGGGGAAAAGATCACTTAAGGGTAAGAAAGCTGGGTTTGCAGATGCTCTTCCCTGGCTCTTCCCAATTTTCTGCATTAAGATTCTTCCTTATCTACCTTTCACGTCTTCCTTATATACTGTATACTTCCTTATATACTTCCTTATATACTGTATACCTTATATACTTACCAAGCACAGTTATCCTGCCATGCCAAACCAAAACTGCTATGGATGACACCAAAATGACCAATCCAAAGCATGTCTTGAGCACATTAAGAGCATAAGGAGAGCTAAACCTTTTCTGTTCAGTCATTTGTTGGTGGCATTGATAATAATAATCGTCATTTATTTTATTTTATTCTTCAATTAATAATCATGAGGCTGTTAGGGCATGCAAAATTACTTCCCTACATTACCATTTCACTGAGCCTTCCATATAATTTAACGAAAAGAACACTGGTCTAGTGAGATCTCATAATCTTTGCCTCTTATTATTTAATTTTTATTCCACACACCCCATCGCTTTTTCACAAAATGATCCTCACACCATACTAATAGCCTCCCCTGCTCTCATTTTTACATTTACAATGTTTGCTTTTTAAGCTCACGTGGTGGGGATTCTATTTTATATTTGTAAGGCAAGCTAGAAACAGGAATTTACCTTATAAGCAGACCGTTGGCCCATCTCGCTCAGTATTGTCAACACTGACTGTCAGCTGCTGTCCTGGGTTTCAGACAGGGAATCTTCCTTAGTCCTACCTACAGATGCCAGGGGTGAGGTACCACTAAGCTATGACACTTCTTTGCCACTTGCTTATATGGCGTTCATCTTCTAACTTATTTCACATCATTTTGCTCAAAATGCATACAAATCGGGTCTCCAAATATTATTTAACACATAAGTGCTTGACCGTTTATTTCTTCCGTGTCATTGGAACTATAAGGACACGCTTGCAGTCCTGTTTTCTTTTTATACTTTCTTTTCTAGCATCTCAGCAGTACCATCAAGACATCCCTTTTTAAAAGAAAGGGGGGGAAAGGATACATTATCCCAAGAGAGGAAAGCAAGATCTTTTCTAAATGTGACCCTAAGATGTACATTCAAGTTTGTCTCACAGTTTTTGTATCAACTGATAAATGCTGTTAAAGTTTTTACATTCATACTATGAAGGCTGCGGTCCTGTAGGTTTTTGAATTATTGGAGGAGACTCTTGAGAGTCCCATGGACTGCAAGAAGATCAAACCTCTCCATTCTTAAGGAAATCAGCCCTGAGTGCTCACTGGAAGGACAGATCCTGAAGCTGAGGCTCCAGTACTTTGGCCACCTCATGAGAAGAGAAGACTCCCTGGAAAAGACCCTGATGTTGGGAAAGATTGAGGGCAGAAGGAGAAGAGGAGGACAGAGGACGAGATGGTTGGACAGTGTTCTCGAAGCTGCCAACATGAGTTTGACCAAACTGCGGGAGGCAGTGGAAGACAGGAGTGCCTGGCGTGCTCTGGTCAATGGGGTCACGAAGAGTCAGACATGACTAAACGACTAAACAACAACCTGTAGGTTAATTTGGTCCCATCCACAGTATATATTTAAAGCTCATGGCTCGCCCCCCCCCCCAAATATAATCCTAGAAACTGTTGTTTGTTAAAGGAGCTCAGAATTGTAGCTCTGTGTGTAAACAGCAGTTCCCATTATTTGGGGGTGGGGGCGAGGATGGGGACAATGTACCGTATTTTTCGCTCTATAGGACACACTTTTCCCCCTCCAAAATTTAAGGGGAAATGTGTGTGCATCCTATAGAGCGAATGCAGGCTGTGCGGCTAAGCCCAAAGCCAGAACAGGGAGACGGAGCGCTGCGCAGCGCTCCGTCTGGCTGTTCTTGCTTGGGGTTAGCTGCGCAAAACCTTCTTTGTGCCTTCACCCCACTGCCCTGCGGAGGCTACGAAGGCTGTACGAAGGTGGGGGAAAGGCTGCAATGCTTCCCTCCACC